CCTCTTTCTCCGCAGCGATCTGAGTGACAACAGTCTACAGAGCAGCATGCCGTCGTTTCTCAGCCTGTTGGAGAATCTGAGGCGCCTGTGAGTCGGCGGGTTGAGTTGGCGGTTTGGGAAGCTTGATGTTTGAGAAAAATGAGGGGCTTGAGTGGCTCGAGAGAATTGGGAGGCTTGAGCTGTTTGGAACACTTGAGAGGTTTGAATGACTTGAAAACACTTGAGACGCTTGGGAGGCCTGAGAGTCGGAAGATTGAAGGAAAAAGTAAGAAGGTAGGGAGAGTACCTGTTAAAGTATTGCTGTTGAGACACATGTTTCTGTGCCATCAAATTTACTCACCCCATTCCCAACAACCACCCCCCGCATTGTCCACATGCCCTCTCACCCTCCCACCATGCCCTTACACCTTACTCCCACTTCCTTCCGCCCTTCTCCCATGCCCTTACACCCTCCCCTCATTCCCTTACACCTTTCTCCCATGCCCTTCCCTTCCCCCATGCCCTTACTCCCTCTTCCTCTCACTTCCTTCCAATGTGCCAAGGTCTAGTTCATGAGCAGCACTTCGCTGATTCTTGATCCCGAGTCCGTCTCCTCCCTTGGGCCTTCCCTTGGTGCTCTTTCCCTCCTCCTCCCCCTCTGCATGCCCTTACCACCCACTTGCTTGTGCCCTCCCTTAGTGCTCTGCACTTCATTGCGCCCTCCATTCGTCTCCCAGGGACCTGAGCAACAGGTGTGGATCCACTCACATATGAAATTTGAAACAACTTAACGTTCACCTCTCTTCTCTCTGCAACCCTCCTGCGTGCCTTTCAGGGACCTGAGCGACAGCTCCTTGCAGGGACCCATTCCAGCCGGCCTGGGCATGCTTCCCAACCTGCGCTTCCTGTAAGCCACACCTCCCTTTCTCGACTCAAGAAAAAACCTGCACTCCATTCAAGACAGAAACCCTCCACTAGGCCAGCGATACGACCAATGTGTGTGGTTTAATCATTCACGCATAACCGCTTCAACAAGTTGATGCAGTGACTCTTTGGTGTGTACGTTCTAGAGTGGGCCCCCATGGGTTGGTGAACAATCTTTCTGCTGTCCATTGGCCATTTGACCGATACAATTTTATTGGCTTTGGCTGTCATCCAGTCCAGACTTCGCGGCTTTCCAGACATTTCTGCCCTCCAGACTTTGCTGCTTTCCATCTGCCTTTCTCTGCAGTGGCTGCTTGCTCAAAAAATCTGCTCCCCTAAGCATCCGCTGCCCTCTGCCTGTTATTCAGAATCCTCTGGTTTCCTAATTGATTTGCCTGACGATCGTCTCCCCCACAGGAACCTCTCGTCCAACCAACTCAAATCGTCCATCCCTGCCTCCCTGGGTCGGCTCAAATCACTCACCGTTCTGTAAGCGACCTCTGAGAAGTTTTGAGAGTTGTTTCTGCCTTTCTAAGTCGTGTTGAACCACTCACCGCACTGTAGGCGTCTCAGTCCATCGTGCTTCATCATACGAGGTGTTTCAACCTTGCCCATGGCAATAGCAGCTGCAGCAAGCTGGAATGAAGCAAACTACTCCAATGACCATGCGGGGTTTCTGTTAAGGGTGGCATGGCATCACTGGTAAAGTTGCCGCTGGTACATGCCAACGAGAATGAAGTGAAGCTGTGAAGACCTGTAGAACAAACATTGCCATCTCAACTTGCTCTGCTTTCCTCACGTGCTGTGCTCCATTGCACCAAAACGACTCTCAAATGTACTAGTGCTACTTTCCACAACACCCACTGTGCTGTTTCTGTTGCTGATTCTTAGCACTCTTGCATCCGCAATGCCCATGTTATTCTGTATTCTCCAGTGACCTGCACAGCAACACCTTGACTGGTACCCTGCCTAGGAGCCTTGGCATGCTTCCGCACCTCAGGGACATGTAAGCCTGAAACAAAGTCAGGTGTGCTTTGAGTCGCCACAAGGACATGTGAGTTTCTGTAAGCGAACTGCCAAACCAAGGAAAGCAACTCGACCGGCCTCATGACTAGGAGCCTTGGCATGCTTCCGCGCCTCAAGGACATGTAACCCTCTCAAAGGATGTAAGCATGCGATCTAAGCATCAGGGATGTGTCTAAAAACAAAACAGCTTTTAATCCTCCATCCCCTCGACCCATCATCTTGTCAGGACTCGTCTGCTTACCCTCAGACTCGTCCTTACATACAACAGCTTCTCACCCTCCATCCCCTCGACTCCTCCAACTCATCATTGTGTGAAAAATCGCCCGCTTCTCCTCTCCCTCTTCCCCACAGGGATGTGTCAAACAACGGATTCTCATCCTCCATCCCTTCAGCTCTTGGCTTCCTCACACGACTCACACGCCTGTAAGCGGACCGCTGCAGTGCAGCAGGCAGAGAAGCTGTCGCACACCTTGAGTTGCACCGGAATTTCCTGTCTAGTGCACAAGTCAATATGCATTGCTACCTGATATTTTTGTAAAGCTCTCCAGCCTCCCTCCCTCACCCTTTTTCCCTCTCTCCTCCCTCCCCTCCCACTCTCTTTTCTTCCCACCAGTGAGACTGCACACAAAGGCAGTGGAATAGAAAGCCTTAAGACCCTTCTCCTCTGGCCTCTCTAACTCTTTCTCTCTCCCTCTCCGCTTTGCCTGCGCACAGCAATCTCTCGAACTGCTCTCTCACTGGCACTGTTCCCGGAATGCTGAGCTACCTCACTCGCCTGCACACCCTGTGAGTCCCACTTTTCACAAGTGCTCTGCATGTCCACAACAGGTTTAAGATCGTGCGTGACCTCAAAATTCTGAGGGCTCGTCCCCGCAACGCTGAGCCTGCAATCCTTCGCCACACTAAACTCCCAGTTTTTGCATTCAAACATTTTTTTGAAACTTTTCTAACCACGCTAAAAACTGATCCTGCGCAAAATTGCTCGCAGGATCGGCATTGAGGGGATGCGTATCCACTCTTTATCTGCTTCTGAGTGGATTTACAAGGCTTACCAAAGAGCACCACTTCTCCATTTCCTGTGGTCGAGGGTGCATGCAGGGTTGACTTAGAAGCTTACTAAACAGCATCCGCTGCTCCGACTTATAAGCTCAGCTTAGTAGTTTCTAAACGCATTTGGTTCTTGATTCTGCGAGTGCAGGGACCTGAGTTCCAACGCCCTGAATGGCTCGCTGCCCCGCATTCGCAGATACAGCCTCCTCACGCATCTGTACGTGATGACCACCACTACCTGTGCACACCACGCATGCCATTCCATCCTCTAGTGACACTACCTGTGCACCACTACCTCCTTCTGTCCACCCACTTTCTCCCAACACAACCCATCACTCACACAATGGCCTTCAACCCCCCCACAGGGACCTCAGAGCCAATGCCGTCCAAACGTCTCCCTCGCCTCCCATAGCCTCCCATAGTCTCTACTAACATCCATCACTCCGCTCAATCCTTGTTCCGTATTTCTAGAAATCTAAAAAACCAGATTCTCTCCAAACATGCATCACCTCCCCTCGATCCTTGTTCCCGTTTCACGTCCATCAACTCTACAGCGATCTCAGTTCCAATGCATTCGAAGGCAATGTCTCTCGAGGGTTGGGCAAGCTTCTGCAGCTGCAGCACCTGTGAGCGCCTTTCCACTCCTACCCTTCCCTTGTGACTACCAGTATATAAGGTCTGTGTATTTCCCATTTTCGTGTTTGTCCATTTCAAGCTTCGGCAGCAGTAGCACCTGTGAGCACGTTTCCACACTCCTGCCTTTCCCCCTTGTCTCCCAATATATAGAATCTGTGTTTTCCCATTTTCAAGTTTTTTTTTTTTCGTTTGACAAATCACCCTGCACACTTCACCAAGAACAGTTACCAGCTTGATTCTACAAAAGAACGGTACCGTACCTTGCCCTCCCAACAGGGGGCTTCGCACCTCATGCCACTCATGGCTCCACACCACACTCAGATCACTCCCACTGTGTCTCCCCATCCATATTCTCTTCGTCTCTCTGAGCGTATGTTTCCCTCCATGGCCCTCCTTCTCTCTCCCCTTCCATCCTTCCTCCACTCCACGCCACGGCCCTCCCTCCCTCTCCCTGTCCATTCGCAGTGACCTGAGCAACAACCAGCTGAGTGGCTCTCTGCCTGAAGGCCTTGGGAGAATCTCCCTCCTCTCCCACCTGTTAGTGCCCCCCCCTCGCTCTTGTCAGTGCCCTACTCTTCCACCTGTCTCCATTGCAACTTATCATAACCCATTACACCTGTACCATTGAAATCACCCACTTCAAGTCCTGCACTGAAAGCACAACTCATGTCCCGCACTCACAGCATGACTCAAAGCGCAACTTATGTCTCACTCAAATCGCAAATCAAAGCACAACCCAAAGTGAAACTCATGTCCCACACTCAAAAGCACAACTATTTTATCCTGTAAAGCTCCTTCTCGCAGTCTCAATCGTTTCAGCGATCCTTCACGCCCTCCCCTTGTACAGTAATCCTTTTGGCCGTCCATCTCTGTTCAACATTCCTTCCTCCTCCTCTATTTCAGCTTCCATTTCGGCCCTTTTGGCTTTTAATAACCACAGTACCCACGTTTCAGTTCTGTAACCCTCACTCTCTATTGCTTTTTCATTCCCCCCTTAACCTTTTTCGGCCTCCAGTGACATCAGTGCCAATTCGTTGAATGGCACTCTGCTTCACGAACTGGACCAGCTCACTGCCCTTACAAGCCTGTGAGTAACTCACTGCTCTAAGGAGCCTGTCTTGCAAGCAATTGAGTAACTTTGTGCCTTCGCCAAACCCGCATATACTCCATTAACGTGATCTCCCTCTGTCCCTCGCAAGATGCAGTGCTGCTACCACACCCTCTGCTTCTGAACTCTCACCACTCTTCCTTTTTCATCACACCGTCATAGTCCCCGTCCTTATTAACAGATGTTGACTCACGTGTGAATGGCTCTACTCTGTTCATTGCCACCCACCCATCTCTTCACATGCACGTGCTCTGGAATCTCTCTCGCCACGCCCAACATGCTCATAACTCCCTCCACTATTCTTTCCCATCATATGCATCAATCCCTCCCATCATGCCTCTCATCAATCCCTTCAGTCCCACCGTACCCTCAAATCCTTCCCATTTTGTCATGTCCCCACTCATCAATCCCTCCGTCCATCCTTCCCATTCAGCCTTCCCGCCATATCATATCTCCCTCCTCACCATGCTCACCCACTTCTCCAGCGATTTGGGCAGCAACGCCATTAACGGCAGCATCCCTGAATCTCTGGGAAACCTCACCAACCTCATCTCTCTGTACGCACCCACCCACACTACCCGTGTAGGCACCCTCTGTAATCACCCCCACCACCGAGACCGCACATGCATTTTCTCCATGGACATTTTCTGTTTCCATGCTATTTGTTTTTCCCATTCTTGCCAATGCTGTTTTTCGTTTTTTTTTTTTGTTTTTTTTTAGTTTTGTAGACCTGGAAGAATAAATACGGGAAAACGTTTACCAATTTCTTTGTCTGCATTTGGTTTCAGTAACTTCTCAACGAATCTGCTCAACGGATCCATTCCTTCGTCCTTTGGTGATTTCGCGCACCTCCTCTACTTGTGAGACACTTGTTTTTCATATTGCCAAACAAACAGTTTAAGCCCCATCATTAATAGGCGAACGACTTCCAACCTGATCCAACAGTGTTCGCTCCCCGCCTTCAATTTTCCTCAGCTGCAATGGTGGCACATTTTTTTGTTTTTTTCCCTCCATGCGTTTTTTTTTTTTTTTTTTCAAGCATCTGCGTACGTTCCTCATGCTTCACTTAATCACCCACCAGTTACATCAGCTACAACAGCCCCTCGAAGCATCTCTTATTCTGTGGCGTTTTGTGGCCCTGCTCCTCTTTCTGTGCTCTTGTCTCCTTCTATTGTTCCCTTCTCCCATCAGTGACGTCAGCTACAATGGCCTCAATGGGTCGCTCCCAGAGACCTTCAGCCGACTCTCTGCCCTCAAGCACCTGTAGGCACTCAAGCACCTGTAGGCACTCAAGCACCTGTAGGCACTCAAGCACCTGTAGGCACTCAAGCACCTGTAGGCACTCAAGCACCTGTAGGCACTCAAGCACCTGTAGGCTGTAGGCACTAAAGTACCTGTAGGCACCCAAGCGGCTGTAGGCACTCAAGCACACTTGGCGCTACTTCTGGAGATTGCATTTCACAGCTCGCTGCTCTTGTGGCCTCTATCACATGCAAAAATGGTTGAGATCACCCTTTTCTGGTTCTTTTATTGTATGTGTCTCCCTCTCTCCCAGGCAAGTCGCCAACAACCAGCTGAACCAGACACTCCCTGCCAGCTTGAGCAATCTCATCAGCCTCACCAACCTGTGAGTCGTAGCATTCGAGAATTCCAGGCATAAATGAACAACTAGCCTTTTGAAACATTTTTTTGCCAATTTACCATTACCGTTATTGGGTCCCTACACCAGTGGTAAGCCTCGCCTTGTGAATGACTACCAGTGTACTGCCTTGCATGCTGGTCACATTCTGTACAACTCTTCCCAGCAACAACTCGATCAGATTCATCAACAGAACATCGCATCACATCGCATCACATCAATCGTTTCTGCCTTGTTTGTGTATCATACTTTTGGACTTCCCAGCAACATCTCCATCAACTTTATTAATGGGACCTTCCCTGCTGCCATCAGCACCCTTACCAACCTTGTCGCCCTGTGAGTCTGCCCTCCCTCATTCGCTCGTATGGATTGATTTTGTTGATTGACCCATGTTGTGATACTATGCAAATCCAGCCCCTATTCGAGTTTATTCAGTGTCTCCTTCCACATTAAGCCCTGGTTTTGTGTTATATGGCATGTTTACTCGCATTTTCACATGAAAAGATGTGAAGGTTCTGTGAAGTCAGAAGCCTATGGAAAATTCTAGTGCTCACCAATACCTCTGCTCTCGAACCTTCCATGTCTGCAGTGACGTTCACTTCAACAGCATCAACTGCTCCTTCCCTTCTCACATCAGCACTCTCACCAAACTCACGTGGCTGTAAGACTGCCATTCTATTGCTACACCCTAACTGCTTCTTCTCTCAGTCCAGTGGCAGAATTGTATTTCACCAGAGTCACGCCCTAACTGCCAACTCGTCACCGGAATTAACACGAGGAAGCCCCAGGTTGAAGAAATTGCTTGTGAATGTTCTTCTAAAATTAATCCATCCATCTCACATAGCCTTGCTGCTCTGTTCTCCTGCTTCCTATACCTCGTCCAATGAGATCAGATTCTGGGGTCTCATTGTGACCTCACCTCGTGACAAATCACGTTTCCATATCGCACCCCTGCACATCTTCCAGTGACATGAGTGACAACAAGTTCTGGGGTCCTATTGGAGAGTCCATTGGCACACTCACTAACCTCGAGTTCATGTGAGCGACTCTGTGCCATGTTATACTTGGAATACCATACCCCGATGTCATGGCACCTGTACACCAATCACCTCTGTCTGAGCACTCACGTACCTCCTCACTGCCACAGCAGGAGTTGAGTGTGGAGCTTGTCCCTTGATCACGAACTTAGGCTGTGCATTTTCCTTCACTTTCTCTCATTGCAGGAGTGTGGCATGGAGTCCGTACCCTGATGCCCCCACAGCCATCAGTGGATCCATCCCCGCCAGCATTGGCAACCTCCTCAACCTCAGATACCTGTGAGCGCGCACACAATCTTCTCCACCTCAAGTAAGTTTGAGTGCCCCCTGTCCTCTGCCCGATACCCAGCCATTGCCCTCTGCCATCTGCCCTCTGCCCGATACCCAGCCATTGCCCTCTGCCTTCTGCCCTCTGCCCGATGCCCTCTGCCCGATGCCCACCCATTGCCCTCTGCCAACTGCCTCGGCCCCCTGCCCTCTACCAGCCCTCTGCCCCACCTGCCAGACATTTCAGAAACCGTCTCGCCTTGCTTTCCTCTATTCCTCTCGTGCAGTAACCTGGGTGGCAATAAGATAAATGGCAGCATTCCAGAGACCATCACCAAGCTGAAGAAGCTCGAATTCTTGTAAGTCTCTATTGCAATTCTTGTCGTGTGGCAGGCAATTAATCTCCCTCCCTCTTGTTGCATGGTGAGGTGAGTCGTCCAGTCTCTGATGTTTGGCAGTCTTCCTTCTGAACTTACTTGCTGTGTGACTTCTTCAAAATCTTGGTACAGTGAAGTTGGTTGTGTGAAAAAGCATTGAGACGTTTCTTCTGTCACTCTTTCTGTCTCCTCTGCTCATCCACACTTTCCCGCATCAGCTCTTCTGCCCACATCACTCACTTACTCGTGCACTCAAACTTCCCCTCTTCTTCCCCTTCTGCGCTCCCATGATCCCACCTTCCCCTTGCGCAGCTCTGTGGCGTTCAACAAGATGAACGCAGAGTTGCCAGACTTCCTGTCCGAGCTCACAGCACTCACAGACATGTAAGAAGAACAAGTGGTCCATCAGCACTAGTTAACCACTCACTTGGTTCCACTTTTGACGTACCTCAAAAGCATGTCTGAGCTCACAGCATTCACAGACATGTAAGGAGAGCAAGTAGTGCATTGGCATAAGCTAGCCAATCACTTCTTTCCGCTTTTGAGCAGCCTCAAAGGCATGTCCGAGCTCACAGCACTCAAAGAAATGTAAGGATAGCGATTAAAGCTTTAGCCTACCATAGTGGTCTGGTGTCGTGTGTGCTGTGTCGTGCCTGACTCAAATAAGGCATGTATTCTTCCTTATAAGCCTCACGGTTTGCAGTGTGGGTTTCTTCTGGGTTTACTCCCATCCCCTCCAGTGGACTGTGCAAATTTCATCACCAACATTGTCCAGGATGGGGTGTATGTGGGGAAGGAACTCAAAGGTTCATTGTCACCCTGCCAATCTTCTCCATTTCTTATTCCTGCCCCACTTTTCCGGCCCCTAATTTCCTGGCCTCATCGTCCTGCCCCACTTTACCTGCCTCCCTTTTCTGCATATTCCAACAGGGCTATGCGCAGCAATGCACTCACGGGTTCCATCCCGACCAGCTTCGGCACTCTCTCCAACCTGCAACGCATGTGAGTGTCTGTGAGTGTGGCCTGCTAATAGCACGCTTACTTTGAGCCTTGTGTGTGACCTGCTAGAGTCAGTCTCACTGCACTGATCGCTCTCGCTATGTGTGTTCCCCATTATAGGTGTTTCCGCCTTGTGAGTGTTTTCTATTATTTATGCTCCCCATTGTGTGTGTCCCCCTTTGTGTGTTCCCCTTTGTGTGTGTTATCTATTTTGTATGTTCTTCTTTATGTGTTGTTCCCTCTCCTTCATGTGTGGTTTTCTTTACGTGCATCTCGTACAACAGGGAGCTGAGTTACAACCAGCTCAACGGCACTGTGCCGGTATCTTTGGCCAACCTGCACAACCTCACAGAGCTGTAAGCCTATGTTCCCCCTCCCAGGTATATACGCACACATTCACATTCACCAATCGCATCAACTACCATCCATGTATGATTTACGTCTTCCACAAAACATCAGAACGACCATGAGAACCATTGGGGAAAAGGAAAACAACCTACTCAACGGCAACCATTTCCACCTTTTGTTTTACTTCGGGACATTTCAAAACTTATGCACACATACATTCTACCTAAATCCCGCCCATCAGGTGGCTGCGAGACAACCAGCTCGACGGTACCATCCCCACCCTACTGGGAAAGCTCACCAACCTCGTTGCCCTGTGGGTGCCTCCTTGCCCTGTGCGTGTCTCATGCCGCTGATTACCACTTTATGCACTCTGTTGCAAGCCAGTACACTCCATGGCTTGCCCACGCATGCAATACATGCTGTGTCGTGGACGCACAACCACTTGCTATCCTTTGCACTGCACTGCCTGCAGGGATCTGAAGAGCAACGGCATGAACGGAACCATCCCACCATCCCTATTCATTGTACCCACCTACTGCCCTTTGCGTTGCTCTCTGCGTTGCCTGCAGGAATCTGAAGAACAAAAAACAGGAACGGCACCATCACTGCCTCTCCACTCATCGCCCTCTGCATTGCACTGCCCTTCCCCTTGCTGCCCTTTTCTTTGACTGCCTGCAGGGATCTGAAGAACAACGACATGAACGGCACTATCCCCGCCTCACTCTACAACCTCACCAGGCTCACCAAACTGTCAGTGCCGTCCCCCCACCCTCAAGCTCCGTGCTACACACACACAGTGCATGCCAGTGCACACGGTTCACACACTGCAGACAGCGCATACAGCGCATCATGGAGTCTCATGATGTCAACAGAGACTTGAATTGGACACATAGATCAGTGTCGCCCCACCCTCTTTCCC